TCTCTCTCTCTCTCTCTCTCTCTCTCTCTCTCTCTCTCTCTCTCTCTCTCTCTCTCTCTCTCTCTCTCTCTCTCTCTCTCTCTCTCTCTCGCATCTACCCAGGGCGAGGGTTATCGTTATCGGCCGGAGCGCGTGGATCTGGAATGAAGCCGACGTAATTATCGTTTTGCGGGTCACGCCACGTCATAGGCATCGCCTCCTTGAATTCCGCCGGCAGTCTCTAACGGCGGGTGTAACCGCAGAGGTTCGCAAACTCCATGTACCCTGCGAATCTGTTAGCCGCCGCGTGCAGTCGATCGTTTCCCACAAGGATGTGCAAAAACTGGTCATTGCGGTCCTCCTCACCGACAATCTGTACCGCGGTTTCCACCAAAAATGCAGGATGCGGCCATGCTGCTCGTATTTCATCCCCGTTCATTTGCAGGGGAGGAGGTGGTGGGCGACGTGCCGCGGCGACTACTGGCCCAAGGCCGAGGCCCCCTCGACCGCGCACAACTATACGTCGTGGTCGACGACCGTACACCATGTCCCCATCATCTTCGTTGTTGGGTGCTTGAGGTTGTTGCTCCATTATACTGTCGCGCCGTGAGTATCTGCAACAGATGCGGTGGATGTTAGTGTCGGTGCGCGGAACATGGGAAAGAAATATCCAAAAAAAATCTTCTCCATTGCAGACAGAGTATGGCGGACAAATGACAAGCCTCCACACACCGTTTTGCACAACGGCTTTGACATTAGAACGCAAACATTGTCGAGGTTGTTATCTCCGACCAATACGCTTCCCACTAGATCCACGAGTCCAAGTTCGAGGGCCCGGGACAACGACCAAACTGTTTTTGCTTCTTCGACTTTTAAGAATTTCGTCCTTTACAGCCAACAGAGTTATGATCCTCGTCAGGACCCGAACCCCGACACGACACGGAAACATACGACCCAGAGTTATCCTGGGATATACTGACTGAGTCGGGCGTCTGGGTCGTGCTTCCTGATAGGGAGGCAGCAACTTGTGGCAAAGAGAAACCGAGTTGGACTTCAGTGCCGCCATGAATGTCGCAGCCCGAAAGAAGGAACGAAGTCGAAGGGTTAGGGGAATCTACACGAGGCTTGCCCTCCTCGCGCAGCAGACGTTGCTCACGGATTGTGCAAAGAGCCTCCCAATTATCCAATTCTTTTTTTTTTCCCCGCAAGGACGACACAATTGTTTGCACCCGGGAATATGATGTCGACAGCACAGCACGTGCATTGTTCAAGTCGTTTGTGACCGTCTCTATATGTTTATCTATCTCGTCGAGGTCATATTTGCCTTCATTGTCTTCTGCATGTGACTTGTCGAGGTCGTCCGTTATGCATGGTGGCAGACGGCGCATACGGTCACGAAGCGAAACCTTTTTTCGGTCATCATGAGGATTCATGACAGGCCCACAGAATGAGCGACGTGATATCTGGAAACACAAAACAAGAAACAAGAGTCGTGAACACATCACACATAATGGGTCGAGGATGACGTCGCGCGCCACTTATGCACGGCATATATATATATACATATATATATATATATACACATATATATATATATACAGGGTTACCAGCCCGTACGTACGGAGGCCCCCGGGCGGACCTTTGTACGTTCGGGCGTTCGGGGTCCCGTACGGGGCCCGAACCCGATGGCGTTCGGCCCCCACCAAAAATTATTTCGGGGCCTAATAATATTATAGTTTTTCTGATTTTTTTTTTGTGAGTTCTCTATGACGTGAGGTACATGCCTAAAAATTTTCAAGTCATTTGGCTTTGCCAAATAAGAATTAAAAATAGCCAAAGATGGCGGTGTCAAAACGTGCTCGCCCACGTTTTCTTTCACTTTTTACTTTTTGTTTTCACTTTAGTTCGAGGTCTAAACAATTTCATTATTTTTTGAAAATATTTTATTGGGTTTTGTATTATATGAAATACGTAACTGTCAACTTTCAGGGCATTTAGAAGTGCCGAAAAAAAATGAAAAATCACCAAAGACGGTGGTATCGAAAACATGCTCGCGCACTCACTAAATTTAATTCTCTTTTTATTTTCATTTGTTTTTATTATTAGTATTATTTCTGTGTATTTTATTTTTACTTCACATTTGGTAAGGAATTCGGACGTAATGCTCTGGCAAATCTTGTTTAATTTATTTTTCTCCATAATATATTTGTTTTCAGATTTTTTTTATGATCCCTTTTTTTTTTTT